CCTGAAGTGCTGATGTGCTCAGGATTGTATTCATCGCTGCCAAGCACAAGGTTCTTAATGGAAGAGGACTGGCCTCCACCCGAGGGCACTGAAGGGCTTCCTTGGCTCGGTTCTCAGGTCCGGTATTCTCCCCACATTCTCCACTGACTTCACCGCGGGCAGAACACCTTTCACCTGGAGACTTCCCTCTTCTGAAAATATGTCCTGTCTTGACTATCAAAGCCACCACCACAGTACATACCAGGACCTCCCAGGGGAACGCAGGGAGACCTGGACCCTGGCTCAAGCTGTCCAAAATCACCAGCAGAGCACACCACAGGTGCCCCAGGATCAGCTGGAAAGCGGACACGATGGCAGGCAGCAGGCCCTCCATGGCTGGGGAGAGCTCCACAGCTGTGCCTCTGAGTGCCAGTGCCCTGTGGGCCACAAGTGACCGCTCGGAACCCTGAGGAGTGTTCCATCTCCAAAGTAAACAGGTGGCTGGAACCAGGGTGTGTCAGTTGGTTGGGGGAGGGGAGGCCAGCCAGGGTCTAGGAAACAGACTCCTAAGTGAGCTCTGAAAGTGGAAGGGGTCTTACTTCTCCAGGCACTGGGGGAGGTGGACAGGGCTGATGGCAGCCTGGCTCTGCCAGTCGAGGCCCACCTGGCCCTACCACACTCCTCGGGGGCAAAGCAGGGCCAGGCCATGTCCCTTTCTTGCACGAGAGGAAGTCAGGGCAGAGTGGTGGGGGCCGTCCCTGAGCCAGAACCGGTCTCCTGTGTTAAAGTTCCTTTCTGCACAGGCACACCTTGAACTGCCCGCAAACCTCCCAGGATCTTCCTAGTCTGAGGATCCCTTTCTACTTGTGCTTGGTCACTGGGGCCCACGACTGAAGGGTGTCCCCAAGAGTATGAACTAAGAGACTAGGATTCCACTCCAAACAACTCAAGAATCATTAATGGGAAGTGGCAGTCTTAACATTTTATGGATTTTGGTTCAGTCCAAGTGTTCCTGGCTATGAGTGGCTCTTTGGAGTGACACGGTGATTAGGGCTCCTTTTTTCATGTGACCTCGCCATTTTCACCACAAGCCTCCCAAGGTGGGCCTGAGGAGCGTCCCGTCTGCCACAGTTCTTTTGTAAAACTTCGAGGAGAAAACTTCAGTTTCCTTGTAGACAATATGTTTTAGAACGTGTACAATTGGAATGAATTGAGGATGGGAATTTAAGATAAAATTGTACATAAGACCCATTGCCAGATATCCTAATTGCCAGACAGCAATGTCAGTTTTGCTGCTCATGAGTCAGCCTTAATATGTATGGCTGTTGGAATCACTTATTCTCAGGACATTACTTAATAATTCCTAAACTGTTGCCTTATTCTAGGTTGTTGACACTCAAGTAAACAGGTAAAGTGGTAGATCTCATATAAAATTAAAAATATAGTTCTTAACACCAAGTCTATTTTTCTATTTTGGATCAAAGTGATGTTTCTAAGAATATTCAGTGTGTGCCTTGTATGTGAACCAAGGAAACTGGTATTCTTCTATCTTGGCTATTCATTTCTTTTTATTTAGAAAGTTTTGAAAAATCCATTTCTGGACACCAAAAGTCTAACATGTTGCTAAAGCACATTTGTGAGACATAAATAAGAGAGAAACATTCAA